GCAAGACCACCCTGGCTGCTGACCTCGCCACTGGGGTAACGGATACAAATTCATGCGGTTACATGACACTCCAATTACCCACTGTCTAACATCCCCAGCTAGGACTACCAAATTTGCCATGCAACTTCCTCTTCTAACTTAAGGGCTTGGTTGCGCCAGGAAGATGGGATCTGCCTGGAATGGGACTGTTTTCTATAACACGAGGGGGAGGGGGCTGACCGGAGAGATGCTATACTGCAGAGGGCAGCAGCATCACCAGGAGAGTGGCCAAGACTAGTGTTCTTGCCAGCCACCGGACGGGGTAAGCAACTCCCCTGCCCCAAGCCCCTCCCACCAGCAGCTCCCCCACCCTCCCTGGATTGGCCCATGTGCTGTCCCCTCAGGGATGACCTCTCCTGCCTTGTGCTCTCCCCTCCGGCCTCTGCCCTGGGTCTGAGCAGGTGAGGTACGCAGTCCCCGCTGCCCCAGGAGAAGCCAGCAGGTGAGGTACGCAGTCCCCGCTGCCCCAGGAGAAGCCAGCAGGTGAGGTACGCAGTCCCCGCTGCCCCAGGAGAAGCCAGCAGGTGAGGTACGCAGTCCCCGCTGCCCCAGGAGAAGCCAGCGGGCATCCTCACTCCCTGAACTCTCCCTCATCCCAACCCCCTGCCCTAAAGCCCTCCTCAATCCCCAACCCGCTCTCATACCCCCCCAGTCCCAGCGAGGAAAGGGTTTGGTTGTACCAGGAAAATGGGATGTGCCTGGAATGGGATTGCTTCTCATCAAACGGTACAGAAAAGAGCTAATTACCAGGCAGGTGAATGGGCTGTCTGGGACATCCCCCTCAGGGCTACCCTAGCACTGAGCCTCCTACTCCCCGCCCCAGGCATCCTGTGGGGCAGGTGGGCTGGGCCCTGAAGGGCCCCCCCCATTCATACGGGAACATTGCTGGCTGTTCCCCTCTCTCAGGGAGCGAGGGCAAGTACACATTTTGCTACATTTTTCATGCTAGCTGCGTACTGAACCCCTCATCCCCAGCCCTATCCCAGAGCAATGATTTAAATGAAGAAATGATTTAAAATGAAGAAAAATTAAGTGAATTTCACCCTGCTGATTCAGGCAAAACTCTGAGCAGCAGCAGGACTGGAGCAACAAGCAGCAGAAAAATCCCGTAGGCAAAAGCCTATTTCTTCTGGGTACACCTTTAGGAAAGTCATGGCCACTAATTCTGTCTCAAGAAGAAAGGTGAATGGCCTGGGAGCAGAGAGCTGAGAACTGGCAAACTCTCTGATCACCACCTGCAGGAAGGACTTCAGCTTCCAAAGGAAAGCTACATGGAGATTTGCCTCAGCAACACTGGGATTTGCAAAGAGAGCACCAAGCCATAACTCTTCTCCTTCACCGTGGGAAATGTGGGTTCCCCTGGAGAGTCTGTTTTGTACCGGCACTGGGCCATTAACAGCTATTGGTGTCACAGCAAGGAAGTGTTTGTGTGGTTTTCTGCATGAGAGATGAATCCAAGAGCACATTGGAAGACTTCAGAGTGATCTGAGCCAGCAGAGCATTGTGGTCTTTGTACCTTGTGGTGTGCCAAACATGATGTTAACAGTGCAGGAGCGGTGAACTTGGTGTTGTTGAGTGATGACAATGGCAAAAGGAGACCCTCCTCTGCCCACATCTTCCAGGGCCTGGCTCAGTGACATTTCTGTGTTGAGGAAGATCAGATCCACGACCATACCCAGATCCCGCACCTTCCGCCCCACTGACTCGGCATACTCCCTGCACAAAGCAAAGGCAGTGCAAGTCAGAACATAGAAGCCATGTACAGAAACGCTTGTGTGCATTCCCATCAGATCCATTTTCACCGTTTAACTCTGTTCAAAACAGAATTTAAGTTCAACTGCTGATGCAACTTTGGCATGTGCACAAAGCCTAAAGAGCAGAGTGCACAGCTGCCACCAAAAGAGATACTGGCTCCAGCTATATTCAGTGTCCTTGGACAACATGGACTGGAAGCCTGTTGATATCGGCATGCAGCAAAAACCATATTAATTCCAACCAAAAATAAGAAGTATAATCAATTATTGCAGGGAGGAATTGGAATTTGCCTGCAGGGGGAACTGGTTATGTAGATCTTCCCTCAGTCACTTCTTTTGAGCTACAAGCATGACTACATAACTACGTATGCATGAACCATTAATCAAACTACAGAAAATAATAAACGCTTCAGAACCCCACATTTATAACCCTCTCTCAGCTCTTCAGATTCACACTTTTAAGCCAGGAGGGACCCTTAGACCATCTTAGTCTGACATCCTGTGTCTCAGAGGCTAGAGCATCTCACTCAGCTCCCCATGCTCTAAGCCCAATAATTTGTGTATGATTAGCCTATCTTCAAAGCATCCTGAGATGGAGCAGCGACCATTTCCCTTGGCAGCTTATTCCCTTATTACTCATTCCCCCTGTTCACAATTTATGCCTAATTTCCCATTTGAATTAGTTTAGCTTCAGCTTCCAGCCATTGGGCTTTTGTTCTGCTTTTCTCCGTCAGATTAAAGAGCCCTTGAGTAGATAATCAAGATACCTCTCAAATTTCTCCGTGATAAGCTAAACAGAACCTGCTTTGTAATTCTTTCACTATAAGGCTTTTTTCCAGACCTCAAATCACTTCTGTGACTTTCATCTAGTCCCTCTCCAATTTTTCACTTCCTTCTGAGGACAGGACACTAGAGCTGGACACAATGATCAGTCTCAGTCCCACCAATGCTGTGCACAAAGGAACCACCCCCCGTTCACTATTCCTGCTTATAAATCCAAGAGATGGCACTAGAGCTGCATGAGAACAGGAACTCATGCTGGGTTGTTTGTCCCTTAGCACAGTGTTTCTCAACCTTTTTTTTTTTTAATAAAGTACCCCGTTAAAAAAATGATAAGTACCCCCTGTACCTACAGTTTTCAGACACACAATTTTTTTTTCTACCATTGCAATGCATTTGTTTAAACAACTTAATCATAGCCGGGCGGGCGATGAAATTTTTGGGTGTAAAAAGTACAAAAATAAGAAAGCACTGTAAAACTTAAAACAAAAATTCAGTTCTCCAAATTTCAGTTGTGTGGACGTACCCCCCCCCCGAATTCTCGAGTACCCCGGAGGGTACTCATACCACTGGTTGAGAAACACTGCATTAGCACACCTAGACTCATTCCGCAGGCATGGCTTGTATTTGGCTGTATTAACACGCATTTTGTTTGAGTGCCCCAGCTTACCAAGTGATGCAGACTGCTCTGCATGATAGCCCTGTCACCACTGCATACTATCCTACTAATCTTTCCATAATCTGCTGATTTTATATTTACTTCCTGACAATAGAAACGTCAGCTAGCATCAGGCTACCTCCAGAATCCCACCAGAAACATTCCCACTTGTTTATTACCAACTGACATTTTCTGAGATGTAAGTTAACCAGTTCTATAGCCATTTAATGTGTGTTCTTATTGCCACTCTGGTGCTAATTTGTAATCAGTATTTAAGAATGAAGGGCATAGGCCATTGCAGACAACCCTGTAGCAATGAAGTGCCAGCTGTTACAGAAAGCGTGTGGGGGAAACCCAGAGCAAGAGGTTGCAAATACTCAGCTTTTCCCCATCCCAACAAAAATAGACTATTTGCTGTCAAGAGCAGTACAGATACTGATTGCAACACTCTAAATGCTCAAAAGCTACTCTCCTGAATAACAGCTACAAGGTAAACTACCTTGAATATCCAGGGTCATTTTTATTCCAGTCAAATATGCCCCTCCATTCAGTAGATCATAACTGGTTAAAGCAATTAGCTTCTTACTTTGTCTGCTTATTGACCACTATCACAGAACAGTCCACAGGCCTCTCTGATTCAAAGCGCCTCTTGATTTCCTCAAAGTACTGACGGTATAGCTCCTCCCTGCGGCGCTCCTCGCGTTTCAGGCGCTCTGAAAGAAAGCCAGCCGTAGAAATGGAGGGTGTGAATGCCTTTCTAACTACGCCCAGGCATTAGCTGCACACCACCAGCCTGTCCAATCCCTATAGTAAGCCACAGTTTGAAAACTGGATCTGCTGCACTATTCCCTTCAGGGCTGGATGCAACTACCCACCATCTTCAGGTGGTAGAATACCAACACCTGCCTACAACAATGCCAGTCATGTAACACACTGTATTGGCAGGGAAAGGGGGATGCAGATGGAACAGGACTGACCTTCTGCACTCAAGGGGGCTCTGTCAAAGTGATCTCTGTAACGGTCATAAGAATCATCCTTCCTCCGGTAATAGTCTTCCAGGCGAAGGTAACGGTCATAAGCATCATCTCTTCTGCAAAGCAAACCATTCACAGACTGTCATATGTTCTGACAAGCCTCTCCTGCAACCCCAACTTTTCCCAGTATAATGCAAGCAAACATTCCTCCAGGCTGCTAATTGAAATATGGACCTGGCTATCCCTCTGATGACCAGATTCCACAAGCTGTGAGGGGACCAACAAGGCCTCAATTTAGTACCATCACCACAAGCGAGGCAACAAATCACTAGAGCTCCAATCCCAGTATAAGAAGATACCTGTACTCAGGGTCCCGTGGCTCCCTTACATCCCGGTATCGTTCATACACAGGATCCCTTGGGTCACGGAGGTCTCTAGCATCACGAGGCTCGCGCAGCTCTCTCGGGTCCCTCATGTCCCGGGGCTCGCGCAGGTCTCTCGGGTCCCTCATGTCCCGGGGCTCACGCAGGTCTCTCAGAAGATACCTGTACTCAGGGTCCCGTGGCTCCCTTACATCCCGGTATCGTTCATACACAGGATCCCTTGGGTCACGGAGGTCTCTAGCATCACGAGGCTCGCGCAGCTCTCTCGGGTCCCTCATGTCCCGGGGCTCGCGCAGGTCTCTCGGGTCCCTCATGTCCCGGGGCTCGCGCAGGTCTCTCGGGTCCCTGTGGTCTCTAGCATCTCTGGGATCACGTACATCTCTGCTTCGCATATCTCGACCATCTCTGGAATCTCGGCCATTTCTACCATCCCTGGGCTCTCTTCGTGGGCTCCCCCGGATAGGAGAGCGATCGCGTCTTGCATCTCGGCCATCTCCATACGCATACTGCTCTCTGAGGAAAGTACCAAGGAAATGCCATTAGACCAAAAAAACCCACAAACCAAACCACACGAGTATTGTCAGCCCTAGACCTCTTACCTTGTGTGGCCACAGAAACCTTTCGCTCAGCAGGTGAATCCTCCCCTACTAATCCTGCCACAACACCACCACAGAGACAAGTCCAAACGGCTGTGTCAAGGCATTTTGAAAAGGTTTTGTATTCAAATACCTTGCATAGCCCAAGAAGCTCCAAACACCCTATCTGAGCCACCACTAGAAGTGCCAGGTTGTCTGTGCAAAACAAGGGCAGGAAGACAAAAAATAATCATTCCATGGTCTCAGGCCTCCCAAGCAGTGAAGATTTTCAAGCAAAACATTTGGTTTTCAGAAAACTGGTACACAGAGCCCCAGATGCCATGTCTTCCCATCCACTGGGATACTAGAGTTAAAGCTCAAAGGGACCGATTCTATTTGCCAACTGAAAAAGGCAAGCAGCATTCCTGAAGCAATCCCATCAATATTATCATGTTGATGAAAATGTATGTTGTGACCATGAAGCTCGTGTGGCTGGATTCTGTCTAGTGGGCACTGCAGTGAAGAGATGTCCCTGAAGGAAATCAGCATGACTGCATGATGCCCCGTGTTAGCACACTACTAACTCGAGCCAAGACTGTATTGCCAGCAGGATAATGATTCCCAACGGTACCTGAATGACTCCTTTCACTCAGACTTAACTGCAGTAAAGCAGCATGCCGTCTTCAGTAAGGCACAGAAAGAGGTGAAAGATTGCATGCCTTCTCTTTTCCAAAATAGAATCTGTTTTCCAAACAGTGCTCTGTTTTCCAGAGCTAGCATAGCCTTCAATCCACTCTAAGCCACACATACACAGTACACCTTAGGAATGGAAGTGCTGCGCTTCTCCCATATGGCTAACACCTGCAGGACACTTACGATTGTGGGAAGAGAAACACTTGGTTAAAATCTCAATCAACTTTAACACTTCTGATTGCTAAACTTCCCTCAGCTAACTAGTCTAGTTCGTGAACGAGGCATGGAACATGCTTTCACAGCCAGCCAAAGGCAAGTCCCTCCAGTAAGTTCTATGGTGCTGAGGTTCATTTTGGAATCAGTTGGAGAGTTAGTCTCAAGAGTAGCCAGCTAGAGATTCAGGCTTTGATACCAGGTTGATTGATTGATACCTACCAAACCCAGCTGATGATTACTTTCCTATGCCCCTCTTCTCTGAGCAGTGAGAAAGTTATGTGGATTCCACGTGATCACTTTGACCGCTGGTCACCCGCCATTTGCATCCAAAGGATACGCAGTATTCCCTGTGGTCTTACAGGGAGTATACTGTAATGAACTACTGTTTTACCCACAGGTAACATATAGAGCACGATCAGTGATCAGAATGTATCTGCACCAGGGAGGCAGTCTCCCTGTGATAGATGAGAAGATGCACCATATTTGAACGTGTCCTATAATGTGACCATCTTCGGTATCAGGGAAACTGTTTCCCCATCTGCTTTAGAGACAAGATACAATGCATATCCTCACCTATCATCTGCAGTGTAGTCACACACTTGATCAGGGATGCTGAACACAGCATTCCTATTCATCCTGCAGTATACCAAGAGGAAAAACATTCTGTATCCTCATTTGTGAGCTGCAGAAAATCCAGAGCAGATACTGCTGCATCCACCTGGGATTTACAGTAGTTCGACATAGGTACAGAGTGTCCCATATCCTGCTGTAAACCATAGGGTAGACTACAATACAAGCACCCAAGACAGCAACATTATTGCATTGCATATTGTATTAATTCCCACTCTGTTATCTAAGTAGGTATACAGGCCACATCCATTATCGGGAACGAAACATCGCGTACAGGGATGCTCAACAGTGGTTTGCCCTCAGTGATGCAAACACTCACACATGGCATTAGTTGTTGCTTGCGCACTGCTGCTCACCTGATGCCCAAGGCATTGGCCTCCATAAATCTGCTTGCGCTCTTGTGCCATCAGCCTCCGCTTGCGCTCCTGTGGCATTGCCTGATGCCCATGGCATCAGCATGCGTGAATCTGCTTGCGCTACTGTGCCGCAGCCCAGCGGCATCAGCTTGTGCTCACGTATGCTCCTGCGCCATCGCCCGAACCCCGATGCCCAGAGGCATTGGCCTGTGCTCGCGTATGCTCCGGCGCCATCGCCCGAGCCCCAATGCCCAGAGGCATTGGTCTGTGCTCGAGTATGCTCCGGCGCCATCGCCCGAGCCCCGATGCCCAGTGGCATTGGCCTTTGCTTTCATATGCTCCTGTAGCATTGCCCAATGCCCAGAAGCACTGGCCTGTACTTGCTTGTTGCTGCATTAGTGCCTGATGCCAAGTGGCAATGGGCGCTACAGATCCACTGTGCGCTGCAGAATAAAGGCAGCACATTTACAGTATCTGTCTGAGTTCTGAATCACCAGACATGCAGGATTTACATGGGAAGCCCCATATGCTTCTTACTCCTGCTGCGAGGTCCAGGAAGGAACATATTTGCCCAAGACCTCTAGTGTAACTGAAGATAGTGTTGACCCACAGTCAGTCACACAAACAGGTATGCTCTCGGTACCCGCTGGCATACCCCGTAACTGGATGCGGCCACAAACAGTGGCCACCTGTCGCCCACTGTATCGGTATGTACAGGGACATGAAATAGCTACAGACAGACATGATCATTTTGCAGTGCAGCTGTGAAACATGAATGCTTGCGACTAGTTGCATGTAGTAGTCATACAGTTCTCTGTGGCAACATGGACATTTCTCCCTGTGCGTACACAGCTCTGAGAGGTAGCCAGAGAAGACTCATACTGCGTCAGAATGTAACTGCAGTGTTCACCCACATGCCATAGCAAAACATGGACATGCAACGTAGTTAATTCATGGGTCTCTTCTCAATCTGCTGAATGACTGCACAAGAAGAGGGACACACAGGAACTGTACGCATAGGGCCTATTTTCTGGGGAGGAACGCATGGGAAAAGCAGGCAGGTGCCCTGTATTCCCAATGTAACTGTGCCGAGAAAGATGATATTATACAAGTGCCCGTGCAGAAAGGATAGTGCGCACAGGGAAGCTTTCTCCCTGCAGTGTGCACTGTCTGCATCATCACTTTTCAGGCTCCTGTTAGCACTGGAAGCATTCGACATCAGAAGCGAAGTGCTGGTGTTCTCTGCAGTGCGGTGCGGTGAATGCTACATACCCATGGTATTCTCTAGAGAAGCCTTGTGTCTCTGACACTTAAGAATCAGGAACAAACAGCAGTTTATCCTTCCCCAACATTTCACACAACCGATGCTGCAAAATGCAGCATCCAGTTGGAGTCCCAGGAGCAAACACCAGGTTTCCCTTGTGCCTCCTGAGCTGTGAGAACCAGTGAGGCCCTTCACACATGGAAGGGACGGCCTCCTTCTGGCTGTTCACTCGAGTGTCTCCATTCTGTTGGGGAGATGGTGGTGGTGAGGGAAGAAAACTAGACATTTAGCAGAGGAAGGAGGGCTCACCCTAAAGCCTGTCCTTCCTAGTATAACTCACTGCTTCCAGGTACTTTACCTTCGTGCTGGGCTGGACCTTGATGAAGCCTTATTCATATTTCTTCTTTCCGCTGCTTTATTAATATCTGAAAAGAATAATCAACCCATCTGTTCAATGCTATGGAATAAAAAAAAAGATTGTCAGCACATTTTAAATTAAAGCAATGAAAGTTCAAAGACAACCATATGGTGCAAGGAAATCCATTCAGCCAAGAGGCATTGTCACTGATTATTTTTATTAAATTAAGATAATACAATGCAATGAATTGGTCATGGATTACTGTGATTTTCAGCTAAAAGGACAGTTTGTAGGAAATTCTACCCCTTTATCACGTTTACACCCATGTCCAGACCCCCTGTCCCATAAGAGAATACCACCTCTTTCTCCTGTAGTCTGTGGACCAACAGCATGCAGCTCCATGGATTTCAGGAGAAAAAGTAAAGAGTCAGACAATCCTTCATAAATGGAAAGCCATTGGGCTAATACACTTCATCTCAAAATTCAAAGCGTCTTGTTCAATGGAACATGCTGCCATCCTTCTGGAAAAGGACCCAAGGGCTCTCAAAAACAAGTTCAATTGACTTCCAGGGGACTGTTGTGACATCATATTGCACAATCTCCACCACTGAGTCAGAAGGATCCAGGGGACTTCAAGTAAAACTACCCCATGAAGTGAACTTCATGCAGTCATAACACCATCAGGCCGATGTAATGCAAATAAATGCAACAGATCAGAAATTTGAAAATTGTGTCTTAGAAATAATGTCTTAGTAACGGCACTGAAAATGTTCCTTGAAGCGTTCAGAGTGGAACACACAAGAGAACTGGGGAGCCACAAGGCTGATAATATTAAACTGGAGAGAAACGATGAAAACATCAATAGTAGCAGAGAGATGACGAGGTTATCTGAAAGCGGGAAAGAACAAAACCACTCCAAAGTAATGCTTGGTTTAGGGCACTCTGTTCTCAAGCATGAGAACCTTTAAAAAAAGGAAACCAACCAAATGCTACACATCACTTGTTTGCGGAGTTAACAGTGTAACTAACAGTTATGATTACAGCAAGTATTTAAATATTATGTATAGTTTTCAATTTTCCTGCAACTGAAAAATAAATAAAACACTGTATGTAGAGTTCTGTAAGCAGAAACTTAGTGGTTTTACTATCTACCTTAATTTCTCAAGCTTTGACTGAAATTCAGCAAGAAAAACAAAGATGCTAAATTCAATCTTCATTCTTATTGTAAACAAGGGATGTTTTGACAATGAATGAAAAGGCAAATACCATTTGTGCATTAAGTAGCGGTGATCCAAGAAACATGTGTGTGGCACAGAGACTCACAGGATATTATTTAAGACCATTTCACTGGGTTAAGAAATGAATGGGTGTTTTGTCTATTTAACAGGGCAACTTTCTACTGTATTTACCTTGAGATATGTTGAACATTTATTCTCTGAACAAATCTATTTATCAAGGAGACAATTAAAGGAGTTTCAGTGTATTTGTGAAAGTGTTTCAGTGCAATGCAAAAATGGGATTTTACAGTTTGGTTTTTTGAGGTCCCTATTGTTCCTGACATTCAGCTTTAGTGCACAGAAATGTACATCTAACGTAGTCCTGTTTTCACTGCATTTTGACTTTTCACTACAGGATATTATTTTACCAGATGTAACCCTTTCAGTGCAACACTGCTTCCTTGGTTTAATATTTTCTAAGTCTTCAAAATAGACATGCATTAAAAAAAGGATTTACTCAAAGGACTCTTCTGTTCTGAAAAATGAACAGTTTTCAAGAACATTTTATTTCGTGTCATCAGCATTTACAAATTAAATATTTAACATTCAAAAGACACTTTTTCCAAAAGAAAATTGAAGTCTTTTGTTTTGTAAGGTTTTCGTAGATTTTAAGGCCAGAAGGAACCATTGTGATCATCTAGTCTGACCTGATGCACAACACAGGCCATCGGATGTTCTTGACTTGATTCCTGCTTTCAAATACAACAGTTGTGGTTGCACTACAGCACAGCAAATTTTTCTAAAATAGATCTTGATTTAAAAATGTCCAGTGATGAAGAGTCCACCAACTTTTGGTAAACTGTCAGAATGGTTAATTTTCACTGTTAAAAATCTAACCCTTATTTCTAGTCTAAATGTGTCTAGTTTCATCCTCCAGCCAACGATCTTGTTATACCTTTGGCTACTAGACTGAAGATACCTCTATCAAATTTCTATTCTTTATGTAGGTGTATTTACACAGGCTGTGCGGTCGTCACCTCATGACTTTCTCTTTAAGCTAATTAAACTGAGCTCTTTTAACCTTAACAAAAGGTATGATTCCCAAGCCCTTCATCATTCTACTGCCTCTTCTCTAAACCTTCAATATCGGAAGCGTGGACACTAGAACTGTACCCAGTATTCCAGAAGGGGTCACCAATGCCGAATACAGAGATAATGCTAATTTCCTAACGCCAACTCAATATTCCCCTAGAGACTGCATTAGCCCTTTTAGCCATACACTAGGAGACTATTCATCTGATTACCCATGAGCCCCCAAATCTTTTTCAGAGTAATTGCTTTCCAGGATAGAGAATCCCCCTCCTATAAATACAGCCTTAAATCTTTGTTCCTAGATGACCTTACATTGTTTGCTTATGCCCAGTTTACCAAGCAATCCATTTTTTGCAAGTAAACTTATCCATAATATGCCATATTGATTATTATTCTAGTTTCTTACTACAATTGCTATTACATAAACATTACTGCATTTATCCACCAAACTTGTAATCTCATCAAAAAAATCAACTAGTTTGACAAGATCTATCTTCCATAAACTCATACTGATTGTTCCATTATTTTGCCTGGATCACTGTCAGCTGACAGGCTTATAATGGAGTCTGGTCACCCCACTTACACCTTTTAAATATTGGTATAGTATTCTTTTTCTTCTGGAACCTTTCTAGTTTCCCAAGATGTCAAAAAATCAACATTAATGGTTTAAAGAGTGCCTCGGCCAAAATACAGAACAGAAATATTTATTGAACACCTGGGCTGCCTTTTTTGCATAACTGACAACTTATCGTTTCCATTTAGTAACAGGCCAATGCCACTGTCAAGAGTTCCTTTCATTCCTAATATCCTTCAACTCTCTTTACGGTCCTTAACTCTGATGGCCACAGTTTTCTCCTTGTATTCTCTTGCTTCCTTCACCAATTTTAATTCACATTTTTCTGTTTAAATTTTCTCTCTCAGCTGACCTGACTCAATTGTAGGGATGTAAGCAAGTAGTTGAGTACTAGACTACCCAAAAAGGCTAAGCTTATCGAGTCAGTACTTGATCCCTCCCTACCTACTGCCTCAGTATGAGAGGCAGCAAATGGAGGAGGGAGAACAGGAGCTGGTGTTGGGGGGAAGTTGGTTTAAAAGCTGGCTCCCCCCAGAACCATCTCCAGGGAGGAGGGGATTTGAGAAGTTGCCACAAAGGAGCTTCTGCCTGTGGCAGATTAAGTCTGGTCCAGCAGCAGCCCATTCGCGGGGATCCCAGTGAGGAGCTAGGCCTCCCCACAGGTGGGGGCTGCTGTCATGAAGCAGCTCCTGCTCCAGCAGTAGCACCTGTCCGTGGCCAGCCCTGGCTGTTGCAAACAAGGGCTTCTAAGTCCTGGCTCTCAGCAGTCCAGAACCACTGCACCTCTGCATTTTAAATGTAGTGAGTGCTGCCGAGCAATTACTACATTTAAAATGCAGAGCTGCAACGCCAACTCCAGGAGCTACCCCCACTGCGGCTCTACAGAGTGGCTCCGCTAACTGACTACTCGTGTAGTCGATGCACAGTTAGCCAAATGACTGCTCCTTTACATCCTTACTCACAATTGTTCTCTGCTTTGTGAAGCTGGCCTTTTTAAAGTACCAAAATACTTTCAATTAGGAATGATAAAAAGCAGGTAATAGGGTAACTGTGTAATCACTGAAATTTTCAGTGGTTACACACACCTGCAACGCAGGGCAGTAATTAGTTTCCTGGGAAATGACATGCACCGGGAGCCGGCTTTTAAGCCAGCTCCTGGCACACACTGGCTCCTGCCTGAAACCACACTCCTGGGGAGCTAGCTGCTGCCCCCCACGCTGCTGCTTCTGTATCAGTGGTAGCAGCATGAGGTGGCAGTTGGCTACCAGCGCACACCAGCTCCCGCCTGCAGCCAGCCTGAGTGTAACATAATGGTAACAGTGCAGGCTTATCAGTTAACCATTAACAGTTACACTTCTACATCCCTACTTTATATTCATTTATTCTATTTGCACACACTATAGTCAAGTCACAATCACTTTCACCTAAGCAACCAGACTAACTTTCAGTTATGTGATCAATTCCCTTTATCTGTCAAGATGAAAAAAATAAAGTTCAGTAAGGGATAGAGAACACTCAGGTTTCGTTGGTTTAGTACCAACTACTTACATATCCCTATATTTCTATTTAAATATGAAACAATACAGGAAAATAAATGTGGAGACCACCAAAATATCAAGAGGGAACAGAGCAGTTACTGTATCACAAACAAGACTAGAGCAAAGAACTCAAAAAATAAAGTGCCTGAAAACAAATGTAGACTAATATTCAAGGCAGGTTTCACACAACGGTCTTTCCATGGATTTTTAAGAATTCCTCTTTCTACCCAAATGCATGCTGGCATCAGTATGAGTAGCATGGAGCAGTTTTCCTTACCTAATCTATACCCTTTATAAAGGCGACCCTTCTCACCGTCCAGAGCGGCCTGGACGTCTTCTAGACGTTCATACTGCACGAACCCATAGCCATGGAACATGCTGAGGGCTGGAAAAATTAATAGCAGGGCAAGACCAGTTACAACTAAGGGACAGTACTACCACATGCAGGCCATTATATAAACCCCACAGGGCTGAACAGACAAAGGGACTTTACCCAAGAACATCTATCCAAGCTTGATAGGAACACTCCAATAAGTTAACCAGGACCAAAACAAAGGAGAGTTTACCAAAATGGGAAAATGTTGCTAAGGCAATTATGAAATACTATATAACAGCCCGACTTCTTCTGACAAGACAGTGACCAAAAGGCACTAAAGTGACCAACCTCCAATTAAGAGAATACAAGAGCCCTAGAAAGGATAGACTTGTTTGTCTAGAACCATACTGCAAACCCAAAAGGATAAAACAAACTGCCATAGCTCTAACATGTCTCAAGCTTCAGTTGTACTAACGAAAGTTAATTTTCATTGAAAATGCAGATAAAGAAAAATGTCACCAAAGGTCACTTTTTTCACTGTCACCTTTATCATCAGATGTAGCATGAAAATTAAGTTTCTGACTGATTTCCCAGCCATAACAAAATAAAATACTAACCCCTGATTTTGCCATATTTTGAAAATATCTCTTCCATTTCTTCACGAGTCATGTGGTCTGTGGGCAAATTGCCGACAAAAAGTCTTCTCTCTAAATCCTGTGGATTGGTGCTGTTAGTGAAGTCGCTCTGTTTGATGCTATTGCTCGTGCGTCCTCGAGCCATTTTGTTTTCGTTCCAAATGCAACTCTTCGCAAAAAAGAAAAATGGCCATGCATATCATTTCACATCCATGACAATTACAATTACATTGGAACAAGGTTAAAGTTAACATGCTTGCAGACTAGAGGTCAACAAGGTCTGCTTTAAGCAAGCTGAGTTCAAGAGAAATCCTTACACAGATGATTTGAAGTTTGGCAGAAAACTGTATCTTACGTTGTGCTGTGCATTGGGTTTGATCTTCATGTCCTGCTAAAAAGGAAAATTCCAGCCCAAACTCTGAATTTGAAATCCATGATTGATCACTGTAAGAGTATGTTTTCATAAGTTTAATTCCAAATGAAAGAAAATAAAACAGTCATTTCATACAGGAACATCCTAATCAGTAAATCTAATTAGTGAGTAAATATCTTTAGGCTTTTCTACAGGTCCACTATTGTAGCCTCTAAGTATTCAGTATATTGGTAAAGACTTTTAAATACTGAAATAATAAACGGGAAATAGACATCTTGATAGCAGCAATGTATAATGAGACACTGGCATGAAAAAAGATTTTCAAAAATCTAAGGTGAATTCATTCAAAAGATTTTTTTTAATGGACAGTAATTGAATCATTTAACCAAAATGCTCCAATAAGGGAAAATCTGATTTCCCATTCAAACCAACACTGAGGGGCAACTCCTATGTCCCAATCTGCTCCCCAGCAAAAAGTCAGCTCCTACTGAAGCTGGGCTACACTACTCCACATTTATTCATCTTCTCCGGCAGTGATATCAACAGTAGATTTTTATAAATCTTCTTTTCTGTAGACAAATCTAGAAATACCAGCAACATCTCCGGGGGGCTAATCACCTGTTGAGTCAGTATGTGGATCAGAGTAGACTGATTTAAATCAAGGTAATTTAAAATCACCAAATGGAAAGCTCCATGTTAATCAACTTTTCCATCTGTACCTGAGTTATTTACTAAAAAAGTACACTTACATTGGTTGATATAAATCATTAAAACATGCTGATTTACAACTAAAAGAGCCTTTATATCAGATTTTGTATACCTTTTTGCTACCTAGGTGGGTATACTATAACAATATTAAGTGTACATTAAGCAATTAAGACTGATATTTTCAGAATCTTAATTAACTGTGCTTTTTCAGTTTGCTCAGAAATGGTGAATATCAGGGTGGATAAAAATCAATGCTTTTTTAAAATCAAAACTCATTTTTAAATATTGAAATAGGACTTTTTTGATAAAATCCTTGAGGAACAAACTTGTCTAAATATAGTTTTAATTAAGATACACTATAGCTCAAAGATACCTCATAATGGAATAGGGATTATACATTGTAATTCTATAGTAGGAGACAACATATTCATGTAATGTTTAAGAGAAGTTCCAAGAGTTCATGGATTAGGGATCCAGTATCATGGAGTTCCAGAGGCTTCTGTACAGATGATTAAGTTAATCTTTCTAGCTACCCAATGGGACTCAGTGCAGAAGATACCAGAGATGTTCAGTTTTGCAGTTCTCAAACTGTGGGTTTGTGCCTCCACAGATAACATGCTTGTAAACAGCAAAAATGTTTTGAAATAAATAATACATAAGAGGTGAGAAACAGACCTCAACACTATTGTCCCCCTGCAAATTTGTGCACACTGAGTCAATGTACACGATGCACACCTCTCTGTAAAGGTACAAAGTTTCAGAAAGTTTAATGAATAGAAGAACGTTGGGGGTGGAGTAGAACCGGACAAGGAGTAGTCTGGAGATGAATGTGAGAAGGGAGGGAGAGGCAGCAGAAATAAAAGTGAAACTGTTTAAGCAGCATATTCCAGAAGTCCTGAGGCCTTTCTGAGTGTAGCCTTCATTGATTTGAGATCTACTATACCATTCTCTCACGAGGAAGGAAAACCTATAATAGCAGCAGGCTGTAAGAGAAACCCAGTTTGGGAATATTTTAATGCAGTTCCTCTACCAAAGAGTAAGATAGGCATGCATGCAAGATGCAAACAGTGCAACAAAGAAATGCAAGGTCTGGTTGTCTGAATGAACCAAAATCATGAGAAGTGTTCTCTCTCGGGATATTAAATATCGGCTAATTGAATAGTCGAGTAACCTCATGAAATTTTATCCGCTAGTTGACTATTCGATAGACCCCGAGGGCAGGGCCAGAAGCCACTGTATCAGAGGCAGCAGCACAAGATGCCAGGCGGGAGCTGGTCCATGAGGGGAGAGAGTTTAAAAACCAACTCCTCTTGTGGACCAGCTGCCTGTTGCCTTGTGCTGTTGCTTCCGAGAAAGAGAAAGCAGCGTGAGGTGGCAGTAGTCCCTGTCTAGTGGGGGGTCCGAGCTCCCAGACCCAGCGTGAGCCAGAACTGAGCCGGGCCACCTACCTGCCCCTTAATACGCTTGAAATGCACAGCTGAAACAGGGGTGGGTCCCGGACTTAGCGTGAGCCAGGACTGAGCTGGGTTGCCTGCCTACCCAGCTCCTAATACACTTTAAATGCAGAGCTGCAGCAGGGGTAAGTCCCAGAGCCGTTGCAAGCCAGGACTGAGCCAGCCTGCTGCTAAATTTACTGGCAGGGAGAGAGGAAGAGGGAAATGAATGTAGTCTATAGCATTAACCTATAAGCTTTTGCTTATCGGTTAATCGACTATATTATTATATCGCTAGTTCCTTTTCATAAAGATGAAAGGAACATGTCTGAACATGCAGGATCTTCAGGTTGGTAAAGTTTTATTTTCATACTTCTTTCTTAAGGTGTGCCTGTATTCCTTCTGGACTATTCTTAAATTCTCATTCTATCTATCTTCAAAACCACAATCATATTCTACAGTTTCAGAGTTATCTACCACTGATAATGTTCATCATGTATGTCACACACAGCCACAATAGTAAAAAGAAAAAAGTCTCCTCCATCTAGAAGCAACCATAGAAAAGTTTGTGATAAGAACCAGATGATTACAAAAAGAGGCTATTGATAAAAACAATTGCCAGGTTTGTTTATTCAACAAACTCTCCTTTCCATATAATTGAGAACCCACACTTCATTAACATGGTTCAGTCATTAAGATTAGGGATGTTAGATCTCGGGTAAAAAAAGGTTGTGTAACCGCATTAAATCTTTGCGGTTACATGACTATTTGATAGTCCCCAGGGGCGGGGCTGGCAGCCAGTGCACTCCCGGCCCCACACTCTGGGAGCCCCCTTCCACTCTGCACTGTTGTCTCTGTATCAGAGGCAGCAGTGTGGGATGGCAGGAGGAGCTGGTCTGCGAGGGGAGCCATTTAAAAAACCAGCTCCCTTTGTGGGCCAGAAGC